ATCCGACCACTGTTGACACAATTGACGTGGTAGAGAGTTCGATTGAAATATCGTCGACCATAGAACCAGAAGTAAAAGCTAAATTAGACGAATTCGACGAGCAATTGAACTGATTCTCTCAAAACTCAAGAAAACAAACTCAAACATTTTACTCATCTCATACTATTTTTAATTAATCATTTTATTGTAGATAACGCTGTTCATGTTAAATGTACATCTTGTAGAACAGTGCTTTTTAGTTTTAGTTCAGTTAATTTGTTTTTTTTTCTCAATCTCTGTATAACTGTAAATACTGTATGTTCACCCTGTACATTTGTACCTTCCTAGTTTATGTGTAAATATTATTTTGCTTGCTGTACTATTTTTCTTGTGGCGCAGTTTGTAAAATTTTGTTCCTACGTTGAAGAGGGAAAATGGGTGTATATAGAATTAGTTACTGAATTTGCGATTTCATTTTTTTTCCCGGTGGGAAATGTAGTATTTGTTTTTAGTTGTGTTAAATGACCTTCGGTATTTAATTAATACCAGTTAACTTAGTTCAATACGACCTCCGGTCGATCGTAGAGTGTTCGTTCAGTTGTCCTTTTAGAACGTTTTAAATTAACACACTCTATTTTATCCGTTTTATCCTTTTAAGTAATTGTACATTAGTTGTAGATAGATCGTATAATTAAAACATTTTATTGAAAATGTTGTCAATATAATTCGATAATGTTGCAAATTTAGATTAAAATCGATTATATTGTCATTATGATTGATTATTTTTGTAAAAGCACAATCCATTATTATCTATTATAATGGATTATAACTGATTATAATCTTTATTTTTGTGCAAAATCATTTGCAAAACTTGCAACGTTTCTCCGTTTTTCATGGCCTACTCGCAATGTAAACATACTCAAAATTAACCGCACCCCTCATTATGCCCCCCCATCCGCATTTGCCCCTCCTCTCTCCCCTCTCACATCCGCATTCAAACCACTCCCCTACGTTTATCCTTATGCCCATCCCCATTTTTACTAGTTTACCCCCAACCCCAACACCCCCAATTACAGTTTACTTCTCTCCCCCTAGGTTGTTTACTATTGAACGGGGAAGGGGAGGGAGGTTACTCAAGGTGAACAAAAACTTTTTACCCCCATTTTCCATTTTAACCTCCTCACCCAAGCTTTTTGCTCCACCCTCCCCCCCCCCCCCCCCCATTTTTTACCCATCCCAAGTTCAGTAAACAGGGGAGGAGGGGGGATTAAACTAATAATATGGGGGGGGGGGGTAAACAGAGGAGAGGTAAGCTGTGGCGGGGGGGGGGGGGGTAAACTGGGGAAGGGGGTTGGAAGGGGGTTGGAAGAGGTGATGCAGTTTATGTAGCATAGAAAAAGTAGAGAAACCTGAACTATGTAAAACCTTATGTGAGAAGTAAAAATTTCTGAAACGTAATGAGTAGCAACCGCGCGAAACAGGAAATGAGATAATTTAGAAAAATAATCGGAAAATTCATAATTTCGTCTCAAAAAATACACTATAATCAATTATAATCTATTAAAATGGATTATTTTAATTAAAATTTTTTTTTGATATAATCCATTTTCAGTTGATTATAATCGATTATAATCCTTTATAATGGATTATAATGAAATAAATATTACTAGGATTATAATCCAATTTTGATGGATTATAATAGATAATTTTTCAGTTTTTTACAGATATTGACTACAAAATGACAATATAATCGATTATTATCCATGTCTCCAGTGCGGGTTTGTAACGTTTTGCAAAACTCATCTGGGATATATGAGATAATTATTTATGACACTGTAGAGAATAGCTTTCTCGACACCGCTAATTTTTTTTATGACAAAAACATGTGCATTTTTGAGAAAATGGTCTACGCTAGTCATACAATTCGATATGTTAACTATTGCAACAAAGTATTGAATGTCTCTTGTTATTTTGTTTCAGTTTTTCAATTTTTTTTCTCTCGTCTGCTCTTAATCGTTTTAGTCTGAAGAGTCTGGACCTGTCTGTATCCAATGAAAGTAATCCCCGACCATTTCCATGTCTGCTAGGCTAAAATTAGTTTAAATGGAAACACCAGCAAAAACACATAGTGCAGAAACAAAGAAGCGTTCTAAGAATTTGAAGGTGCCTAAAATTTGTAATGAAATGTCTTCTGATGATGTATTAATACTTTTATTTAACAGGCATACATTACTTTAATGAAACTAAATGGCATTCTCAGCCATCATTCACAACAAAGTTAACAATAACCAGAAAACTTACCGTAAAAAATACCGAAAGATTTTTTTCATTTTTTAAAAGTATCTGACAATCTTGTAACATTGAGTTTCAGTCCGGGGTGGCTCACTCATAGAGTAATTTCAGAAAAAGTACACCGTCTGTTCGTCACGCTATCTTATTTTTGGCCGGATAGATTCGTGCTACTTGTTAGTCTAATACCGATCTTAATCTTACTCTAATATATAGTCTCAATAGATCTAGTGTATACCGGTATTTGCGATATAAGATATCAGGAACTGTTCTGGAGAAAAGCAACTGCTTGCTAAGTTAAAAAAGTTTTCAATAAATTATAAATAGTTTCAACCTTACAAATTTTTGTAAGTGAAGTGTTAGTTATGGATCATGATTGTTTAGTAAGAAGTATTTTGAAGAGATAGTTTTATCAAAATTATAATTGGATATAAATACTAGTTTTAAACTGGTTCCAATATAGTCCAGCCGCGTCAACTTGAGTTTTATGTCTGAGTTGCTGAAAATGGTTAATTAAGCCAGGAGTGCCCAGAGGGTTATTTTTATGGTTTTAAGTGGTGGACGCGAGATTGGAGGCGCTGACGACAGGAGTCAGAGATGTTCAGTGCAACACGGTTATTTCTGTTCCATCGGCAATTGTGGGGAGTTGTTTCTGCCGGTGATACCACGGGAATTGTAAAATCGTCAGAAAGAGTGACGCATTGCCTGAGCTGTTTAATCTGAAGTTAGTGGAAGTTAATTACAAAGGAGACACTCAAATGCGAGCAGTCAAGGAGTTAGTAGCGGCCAAGGACCCAGAAATCCAAAGAAAGATCCGCGCAATGGATGCGTATTTAGGGAATATACCCACGATTTTCACGTTCGCAAGAACTGCCTCTGGATGGACGAACGCCTTGTCATCCTGATCGCTATACAGAAAGCGGTAGTAAACCGGATTCACTGTTTCCACCATGGTCGGGCGAAAATGTTTGATGCGGCGAGGGACGTGTGGTTCCCTTATATCCATTGGAGTTTGTTGGCTGCCGCCGATGACTGCAAGGAATGCACTGAAGCAGGTAAAAGCGTTAAAAGAAAGTGCGCCAAAGGTGACATAGGGAAGATTTACGAACCTAGGGAGCCAAACGAATGCCTCCAATTAGACTTTTGGAGTCCGATTAAGTATCTAAATGAGTCGGGTAAACATGTCCTTGTGGCGGTGGACCGTTTTTTTTGGTGGCCATCGGCGATGATTGGCCGAAATAATAGGAGTGATAAAGTCCTAAAATTTATGAAACACTATATATCTCATCACGGAGTGCCAAGGAAAAATTTTTATGGATCAAGGTTCTAGTTTTACGTCCAGGGCTGTAAAGTCATTTTGTAATTCCGAAATAATAGAAATTGTCTACTATCCTGTAAATGATCACCGGGCCACCGGGTGCGTGGAACGTACAATTAGTAGTCTGAAAAATTTTGTCTTGACCTATGCAAAAGAAAAATACCACGGAAACCTTGAATGTATGGTAGAACGCGCGCTTAGTGCTCTTAGATTTGCACCTAACGTTACACTGAAAATCACGCCTTTCGAAGCACATCACGGCTGGGAGGCAAATACGGTTCTCCGAAATCTCACGAAAAAACTGTCGTTACAAAACCTCAACTGGGAAAAAAGGTTGAGACAAAAGTCTGCATGTTTAGATTAACCTACCTCATCCGAGAGTGACCAATTGGCTCACTCATAGAGTAATTTCAGAAAAGATACACCCTCTGTTCGTCACGCTATCTTATTTTCGGCCGGATAGATTCGTGCAAGTTGTTAGTCTAATACCGATCTTAATCTTACTCTAATATATAGTCTCAGTAGATCTAGTGTATACTAGTATTTGCGAGATAAGATATCAGGAACTGTTCTGGAGAAGAGCAACTGCTTGCTAAGTTAAGAAAATTATTAGAAAGTTTATGAATAGTTTCAGTCTTACAAGTTATTGTAAGAGTTAGTTATGGATCATGATTGGTTAGTAAGATGTATTTTAAAATGAAAGTTTTATCAATAATACAATTGGATGTAAATACTAGTTTTAAACTGGTTCCAAGATAGTGCAGCCCCGTCAACTTGAGTTTTTTGTTTAAGTTGCTGAAATCGCTTTAGCTTTTATTTAAATTTAAAATTTAATTATTTTATATAATTTTTTCAAGTTTTATCTAAATTAAAATAATTTAAGTAATATTTTACTGAAGTTAAAATAAAAAGCTTTAACTACATCGGTCATTTGAGGTAGTTTTTTAACAGCTGCGGCCCAAATTGTAATTGCATTCATGTGTTATTTTTGCGCCTCAATTTTGGTGTTTTAGTGTTTTTTTTTGCTCGTCGATTTATTTTATCGTTCAGCTGTCTAGAAAATAGCTCTATGCGGACACTGATCAATTGCAACTGTCTGGCCTACTATGTTTCATGCCAGTTGCAGGTTCCCCGAAATGGCTCAATGTTTCCAGAAGCATTCAGAAAACAACATAAACAAATCAGAGTGCACGCTCGGTTGCATTGCATTTCCACGCTAGTAGACTCTGAGCCTGTTCATGCCTAACCGCTAGTTTGTTCATACTTGGTTTTTATTCCACAACTATTTCAACACTTGTTTCTACAATATACCATATAGCCAACGTTTCAGTAAAATAGGAAACTATATAATGCATTTACCATTTCCTTCGCTGGTAAGTAACATATTTTAAATCTGACAGACTGAATTCAACTTTCAATCGTTTCGGTATATACATGTATGTTTGCGCGGCTTTGATACACAATAAATATTGAATTTGCTTTCTAAAAAATAATTCGTCCTCTAAATTGAAGAGCTATGTCAAATAAGGTCTCTTTTTTGCTCTGCATAAACGTGCACATTAAAGCATCCACCGATCAAGCGTTGAAAAATCGTTTGAGATGAAAATCACAGCGGTCATTTTTAGTTTTTATTCTAAAACTTGCCTGAAAAATTGTCAATTATAATTTGTTTTTCAAAAGTGAAATTTTCCTGATTTATTAATTTTGTCTTCAATCATGTAATTTGAGATAGAATTACTAGAATTGTCCGTTCCAGGTAAGATTTTACACGTGAAATCATTTCACGTCTCTTTTTTCACCACAGAGCTAATTTGTTGATCGGACATAAAATATAACTGTTCAACATTTCACTGCTTTGCTGCTGTTTCACTCTAAAAAACAAGTAGACAATATTCTAATACCTTTTGTTCAGACGGGAATACAAAAAATACAGCATCGCTCCTCCGTTTGTATTGAAAAATTGAGCTTTGAAAACAAAATATTTTACCGTCTAGCTCAACAAATAAGGTAAATATCATGCTTTTTCTGGGTCTAGGACAACAAGCCGACGGGACTTCAAGCCGAAGGGACTTCAGGCCGAAAATTAAACTTTACAAGCACCTCAAATCATTATTTTTTCATTTGTAAAACGTTGCTTGGCAAAATCGTAGGCTATTTTACTCCATACTAAGCGTTATTTATGACAATGAACCACTTGGGATTGGCATCCGTTAATAATATCAGCCGGTTTTTGAAATGCATAAATTATAAACAAGAAAATTACCTTCAACCGTGTTTTATTTTTAAACTTTCCTAAACATCATTTGGAGGCTTAAATTTGATGAAAACGCTAATAAGTACCGAATAAAGATCATGAAATTGAGAAATTCTTCAAAAAAAATTTCAAATTAATCATATTTCATCACTTAATGAGAAAATTTTCGGCTTGAAGTCCCTAATTTTACGATTCGGCTTGAAGTCCCGTCGGCTTGATGTCCGGCACCCGCTTTTTCTACTTTCTCGTACCCGCTTACAGACATTTTTCTGGCACTTCGGTGGTTAATTAAGCCAGGAGTGCCCAGAGGGTTATTTTTATGGGGGATTGTTTTTTTTGTAGAACATTGCTACCCTCCCCTTGGCGACGGGACTACTGGCATAATTCTTGCAGAGTCGAATTCATATTCGTTTTGACGAGAACTAAGCAGCACTTATTTTTTTAAATGGCAATAAGACGACGAAGTCAATTTTCCGAATCAGTTTTTATTAGTAAAATCAGTTTTTGAAGAAAATTTTTTCTGAGTTTGAAATTGTAACAATAGTTTCAGTAATTTTGAGTCAAGATCATTCTGTTTACTCTATACTCCATAGGGTTAGCTGCCTTTCTTTTGGGGGTTTATTTTAAGCTCTAGGTATATAAATCGTTGACATTAATTAAAACTAATAAAAATGACAAGAGAAGCCGATTACTATCTTTAGCGCAGAACGTTCCGACCATAGTTATCTCTCCAAAAAATTTATAAAAATTTTTAAAAAATTTTGAAAATTTAATTAACACATTTAATGACTTACAAGCCGACAATTGAAAGTCTGAAAAATTGTTGAAACGATTGACAAAAAAAAGTTTTTCCGGTTCTATACATACAATCTCAATTTTTCGCTTGCGCTTCATCTCAAGATAGTTTTTGGCTTGTGATTCATCTCATTTGAAAGTGAATTTTTGAAATTAATATCCTGCAAGAACAAATACTAATAATCATAATAAATCGTTTTCATATTAGACATTATTCAATAAAAATTTGTCAATTTACATAATTTTGTTATACAAGGACATCAAAAGGCCCGAAAGGTCAAGTCAGCGTATGCCTTAATTAAGCAGTACAATTTCGAAGAAGTAATAAAAAGTTTCAACTGTATAGTACTATCAGTTGTCCAAACCCTACAACCCCCTCTTAAGAATCAAAAGCCTTAAAAAGCGGTTCAACATTGGCACTTATGACCAGAATGGAGGAAAAGTCATTTGAAAGGAAATGTTTAAACCATTTTTCGAATAATCTAATGGTTTTTGCGTTTTGATAATTGCACAAAATTAGTGTATTTTATTTTTGGAAACAAAGATCCGATTTAGCTTTCTATCGACAATTTCTGCTGTTTTGTTATTATTTTTTGCAGAGCAACTGAATCAAACCAATCAGTTGAAGTTATCTAAGAAAATGAAATGAAAAAGTTATGTTTTAGACCTGAAAGGGGGTTAGTAAAAATATTTTTCTTGGAAATGAGTTCTATAAAAATTGCCAACAATTTTGCATAGTGTTATGAGATGGAAAAATGCAAAAAAAATACTGCCATATCTTTAAAGATTATTGGATACCTTCGGCTCTGGGACCATTCTGCTCAGACCACCTTCCCAATATTATAAAGTTAGCAGTATCTGAGTTTTTGAAATTTTGCAAGAACAAATTTCAATACAACAAGCAACAGCCCAAATTAAAAATAAAAATTGCTGGTGATTGTAATTTTACTAGCAACGTGAGATTTAAAATTTGTCAGTATCCTATTAAAAAAACTAGTGCAATTAGATACTTAGCAATCAAAAAGTCCTACCTAAACTAAATTGAGGGCTTCAACTGTTATCCTAACTTTGCTTTATGTCCACATGATTATATCTGAAAAACAAAAAAAGTTGCAATGCTCAAAGCACTAATTTTACTCAAAAACTCGTTGCACCAGCTCTGATTTGAAGCTCTAGTCTTCGGTTTTTTATCTGAAATTTCAAAATGGTTGAGATAAAAATTAAAATTTAGTTATTTTTGCAAAAATCAGGTCCCCAAATTTCAAATTAAAACACAATTCCTACTGTTAGACATTTTTAGTTAACCGAAACATGTTTTTTCATATGCAAAATGAATGCTTAAAGGCTTCAAGTTTGCATTTAAATCTTTCAAAATAAACCTACAGATATAGAGTTGCAACGGGAGACAACTAATTGAAAAAAAAAACAAAGTGCTGTTGATAGTAGTTTTAACAAACTCCGGAGAATAGGGTGCAAGAGCAAAGGTGGAATATGATTGTCGATCAGCCAACTTTTAACTTTTCTGCAGGTTAAGAAGCAGCGTTGTGTTGGAAAACCTATCCGTTGCCCATAAACTTAAGTTTTACTGGGAATCAAAATTTTTTCTTAAATTTTCATGTATTTCTCTCCTTGACCAACTGTTCATTGACCAGCACACAAACATCCAAATCCTTGAGCAGAGAAAGATTTTTAAATAAAGTTACTACCAGGCGATTGATTTTGAGTAAAGCAACTATAATTATTGTTTGTCTCCTTTTTTAAAGCAAAGTCTTGTCCCATAAATTTTTTCACGCCGCAAAGAAATTGTCAAATCGTCACTGAGAATGCACATTTTTTTGTCAATTATTTATTATTTATTGCAAGTGTTTTTCTGGAAGGCTTGTCTGAACAACTTTTTTGTTTTCACCAAAAATAACTACTCTCTTGAATTTTTCTCGAAACCGTCGCCAAGTAACCTCAATTCCAGAAATAGTCAGTTTTAAACGATTCTGAAGAAAAAACGCGAGTCCAACTTTTGTCTGATTAATTGACCGAAGTTATCCGCAAAATGCTGGGCAAATAATTACAAAAAAAAACAAACAGATGCATTACATTGCGAAAAAATGCCAAAAGACTATTTTATGCCATTCGACTGTCTAAATGTTTTAAAACGACTCACTGGGCAAAGTTATTGCCAAAGTTTACAAAAAAAGCCCATTACTCAAAAATTTGAAAATATGCTTAAAAAAATAATGCCTATCTTTAAGAATTAACGGAACAAATTCTTTAATAAAATAACGAACAATTATTTTTTTATAAAGTTTGTTCAATTAATTTTAAAGTTCAAATTTTGGTCTTTTTTGTTAATTTTGACAATAATTTTGCCCGTTGTGCCGTTTTAAAACATTTAGACATTGAATGGCATGAAAAATATCTTTTGCCAACTTTTCGCGATATAATGTTTCTGTTTTCGATCAGTATTTATTTGTCCAGCATTTCGTAAACTATTTCGCGCCAAATCATCACACAAAGTTCTGCCACGCATTGTTTCCTCCAGCATTGATGAAAAAAGCCGACCAAAAATTAATCGCGAAACTTTTCAGAGCATTGTCTAGACGTTCGAGCAAAAACGGCTCGAATTATTTCAAAAAATTAAGACGATGTCTAATAAACTTGTTAAAAATATAAAACTGTTCTACAAAATGATTGCATGCCATACTTTCTTTCTGAAGTATGGGTCTACTGAAAACTGAAAAACAAGCTAGAGAACAACATTCTACAAATGAAGACTATTTATTTTCGAGATATCTGTTCAAACTCAGCTGAGTTTTCACGCTTCTCTGCAAATTAGTTTTCTCGATGTCAAAAGTAGATAGCAAATCTGTAACCAATCTTGACATTTGTTATCAGTTTTTGTCTATTTTTGGAGTTCTTGACTTAATTATCTCGTATGTTTTTGTAAGAATTTAATCGAATTACCGCTTTAGGAGAAACTGGAACTCAACTCAAAAGTTTTCTTTCAGCATCAGTTTATCTTCTAGTTAATTTTAGTCTTCATAATCCCTTGCTTATCAATCAAAACGTTTGCTGTGCAGAAAAAAAACGTTTGCTCCGAAAAAAAATATATTTATCTTAACAGAAAAAAAGTAATCAAATTTGACGTTTTAGCAGCATTACATCTGCAGCCGGTGTAAAATAACGTCACACACGAACGTTCACGTTACAACGTTCAACAAGCATTCTCGTTGCATTCCAAACTGAGATGAAAAAAGAAAAAAGAATACATCTGCTCATTAAAGGTCACTAAAAGCGACCGAACTATCTATCAATCATTTTACGGCGAGTCGAGACTCACGCGCATAATTACGACAAGAATTTACATCTTGGTTATGAGCCTGAAATCTTGAGAAGTGTTTGGAAAAATGGAGTCGCCCCCGGAAGAAGAGATCGTGGAGGTTATCAAACATCCGGATCATGTGGAGCGAATGTTGACCGACATCATTGAGAAAATTGGCAAGTGAATACACATTTTGATAACTGATCACTGAAATTATTTTTTACAGAACCAGAGCTTAACTAGTCTGGTTAAACATAAAGCGAAATTATGTTTCCAAACTTTCGAGCTAACAGAAACAATTTTTAAGCCCAGACTTTTAAGTAAGGGCTAAGAATCAAGTGGAGCCCTAAAAAGATATTTCCTTTTGGGTTTTTTTAACCAAAAAATAAAGTGTTTGAGTCTTTTAACATACCCCGCTCAAAATTGATAATTTTGCAAAAAGTGTACGGCCGAAAACGAAACAGTAATCGTGCTTGGTTGATGAAAAATTGAATGCGTCTACTATTTTTGTGAGCCAATTTCTAATACGGCAGAATTTTGAGCGGATGTCGGGGTGGTCAGTTATTTCTCCTGTTTTTATTTAGCGGTCAAGGCAAAATTCTGCTGCTTACTTGAAATAAGTTTGAATTGTGTCTAAGAATCTATGTTTTTGCCCTTTGACCAGTTCGGCTTTTTTATGAATTTACTTTAAAAAAGTGAGCAAAAAATTTCAAGCTTGTGCTGCAGTCTCATTGACTAAAGTTAGCCAATGAGTTTCCAGTGCAGTTCAAAAAAGCTGCTCACATTTTGTCAGTATAATTAAAAATTGGCCAAAATTTTTGATTATTTGACAAAATTTTCAACTTTATTCAAGTAAGCAGCAGAGTTTTGCTGTGACTACGAAATTGAAATAGCAGAAACAACTGATCACCCCGACATCCGCTCAAAACTCTGCCGTATTGGAAACTGGCTGACAAAAAAGTAGATGCATTCGTTTTTTTAATCAACCAAGCCCGGAAAAAACTGACCACACTCACACAGGGGCGGATCTAAGATTTCCTTCAAGGGGGATGGGGCGGATTTTCAAAATTTACGTGAGTTTTGTCGACCTTTTATTTAGGTCGACCAAATTGATTTTCCGAGCATTATCAGAACACTATAAAATCCTTATTTTGACCAAAAACGCTGCGCCGCAGGAAAATGTTTGAAAATGCTCTCCTTGAAAATAAGTACATATTGGTACCAAAAGCGCCTTTAGAAAAAATTGAAGATTTGTCGGCCGTAAAGGGATGTCGTGAAATAAAACCAAAGGGGAGACCCTTTAGTTGGTGAGTGGGTCGAATCCTTGAGAAAACCCCCCGATCTCTCCCCTTTATCCGGCCCAGCACTCACATCTGCTCAAAAATGTTTTCAAACTTCTACTGTTTAAGCTAAATTGTTTCAGTTCGAAAATATTTAGCTGATAAGTCATGAAATTTTGGTTTCAAAAGCTGTAAAAGTCTAGATCTCAGATTAGTTGGGTGTTGTTCTACGTAACATATTCTGAAAAATTTGTTCTACGTAATTATTCTGAATGACTTTCGTTTAGTTAACTAAATTGGGCTAACAAGCTTACGCTGCCCCATAATTTGTTCCCACTTTTTTGGTCGGATTGAAAAAAAAAAGAGCATTAGCATTTGTAACTCGAGTGAATCATTAGCAATTGTAAGCTTTCAAAAATGATGATTTATAGTCAAGTAAAACAATCAATTGTGATGTCTAAAATCTGCAGGATTGTTTAAAATGGCATTAATTTGCCTACATCCTCCATTTTTTGTTTGAATTTCTCAATGCGGACAAAAATTATAATTAAATTTTTCTAACTTTAGTCCAATTAAGAGCGAGTAGAGCAAACGAGTGAAACGAAAAGCCACTTAATAAAGATTTAAATTTAAAGCTAAGAAAATGTATACTTTGAAGCATAATTCTGCAAACCCTAGCGTCAAGAGCTCCAAAATAACCTTTTAAAAGAATTTGAAAAAATAAAATGAAAGTTTTAAAAAATTTTGTTTTCCTTATTTTGTTTATTCAAAAAATTAACTGTAATAATGCTGTACGAAATGTTTAATTTTTCTGCGCATACCATGAAAAAAACACCAACTCAACCTGAAAAATAGTATAAAAATAAAGCTCCCCCCTTAAAATTAGTATATATTCAGAAAAATTTTAGGGACCGTCAGCCAAAAATGGACATCTCAAAATTATACAAAAGGGTACCCTTTGGGTCGGCAGGGGGTCGAATCTCTGAAAAAAATGACGTCCGCCCTAAACCCAACCCTCCGCCCCACACGTAAACTCCCCCTGCACATAACTATGTTGTTACTTTGTTATTCGATCATTACTTCATCCGATAACCAGTTAAACTAATGATTTTATAGAGTCAATGAACCTAGTGAAGCCTCTTTTTGTTCCGATTTACGATGAAAACGGAATATTTATGCTCGGTGTGGTTTTTTTATTCAGTCAATTTTTGACGATCGAAATAATAGTTTTCGACTAAAATTTTTTATACTCCATTGAAGATATCGACTTCTTGAGTTCATTTCTAAAAAGATATTTTTACCTCCGATTGTTTTTTGTAAAGTTCTGGGGGTTTGAAAATTGCCAAACTGGCCATGTTCTGGACTAAATTATGCTCGCTTTGAATAATTTATTCATATTGCTGAGAGCGTAACGCGAATTATTTATGCGTGGCGAGTTATCCCCGCACAACAAAATCGTTCCAAACTGAATTGAGGCTAGCTAGTTGGTTCGGTCGTATTATTTTGTACCACTCAACATTTTACACTTTGATATTGTCCAAAGTTTAACGGTTTTTATGTTTTTTTTCCCCAAAAAAATTCGATATGAACTAAGGGACAGTCGGAACATTCAGGGCTTTGTCTTGTATAGGCTCTAAAAATGTTTTTTTTTCAAGAAAAGTTTTAGAAGTCTCTAATAACTAAAGATGTGCATTCATACATATTAATGCGTCGAAAAAAATTCATCTGCTGAAAATGACGTAAATAGCCCTCTCCAAATACGAACGTGGAAAAACGTGAACGACTTCTAGTTTCGAAAGTGGAGTTTGATTTTGAGATTTCCAGCGGAATTAAAACTCTACCTGTTGATCCAGTTTTCTCAAGTTGGGTTAATGTTATCAAATTAGCGCCAATCATAAATCATTTTACCCTCAACTAACCTCAAAGTATCGAAGTTGTAGCAAATATAGCCACCAACAGCTGGAAAAGAGTCAATGAACGCAAGAAAGCAAAAAGTTTGAGTTTGAACAAGAATAAGATATGGCTTTAAATCTCTCTGAACTTCAAAAAATTATATTTTTGTCAATTCTTGGATAAAATCTCAATTTGAGAAAACTGCGTCGATATGTAAAAATATTACTCCACTGGGAATTCTAAAAAGTCAAATTGACTTTCGAAAACAGAAATCGATCACGTTTTTGTGAACTTCACACTTTTGCTGCCCGATAGTGGACATTGCCTTCGGAAGGGTAGTCAGAACAACCAGGGTTTTTTCATTATTCGACATTAAAAAAGATCATTTTTTTCTTTTTTGAAATTTTATCAATTTTTAATTTTCATCTAAGATATGAGTTATTGCTTTGACCTTAAAAGGCCATTGGAAGATTCGGATTTTCAAATTATTTTCAAAATTATGTCGACTTTTTTTAAGCCGAGCAAATTGATTTTCCGAGCTCTCGCAAAGCACTAAAAAGTCCCTGGTTTGACCAAAACTTCTGTACCGCTGGCAAAATTTTGAAAAAACAGGCCTAAAATGCGTTTTTAAGCACTTTTTGGAAATTTTTTAACAAAAAATTACGTTTTCTCGGCGCACGGCCCCCCCTTAAAATTAGTATATATTCAGAAAAATTTTAGGGACCGTCAGCAAAATAGTTCAAAGGGGGACCCTTTTGGTCGGCAAGTGGTCGAATCCCTGAAAAAAAGTGACCGCCCCCGCCCCCCTAAGTCCGCCCCTGCCTAGTGGCATGGTATCAAACTATTTCACACGCTAGAATTGACTGATTGACAAGGTAAACTTATACAATTTGGCACCTCATAAGGAATCCCCCTTCTCAATGGGAAGAGGGAGTGTTGCAATGCAAATGTAGAGTATAGAATGTAGAGTATAGATACATATAAAACTGAACCAAAATGTAACAACAATAAGCACAGTTGGCCGAGTGGCCTAAGCTAACGCCGATTATACAGGTTAACAGTTGACGTAGGTTCGAGTCCCCCACCTGCCCATGTATTAGTATACTAAAAACGGGGGTTACATCCTATTTTAACTGTTTTTTGGTTCTAATTCGGTTCAGCCTTGATTAAGGTTGACCGCCAAAAAGAGCAATTTGTCTCAAGGACATTACCGACCGGTTCTTGTGGCTAGCTTGCGCCGTTTTGTACAAAAAACGCACAGATGCAAAAAATGTTATATGATGTTCTGATCAATAGAAAAATGCCGAAATTATTTTATTGACCGAGTTATTTGCCGAGAAATATCTCTTACTAATTTACGGATTTGGAACAGTTTTTTTTGGAGATTAGCGAGCACATTTTGGCGCCCCACAAGGGACCCGACGGAATCCGAAGTTATTCCTGAATTTGTACAAGGGACCCGACGGAGTCCGAAGTTATTCCTGAAATTGCACAAGAAACACGACGGAGTCCGAATTTATTCCTGAAATTGCACAAGGGACACGACGGCCTACTGCTTACTGACGGATTGTGCTTCTGACGATCTACTGCCTACTGATGGACTGTGCTTCTGTCGGGCTGTGCCTACTGACGGGCTGGGCTGTGTAATCAGCTTACTGGCGGGCTGTGCTTCAGTGTGAATAAAAACGGTGGTGGAAAGGTTCAAGGCAGTTTGCGGAACATTTTCGCTAAGTTGAAGCCAGCAGTAGTATCCGGAGTTCAACAGGAGTATCCGGAGTTCAACAGGAGTATCCGGAGTCCAAGGAACCGAATCATTGCGACTTGTCATCTTGGGCTAAACAACTATCCATATCAGACACGGGGTCAACTGCAGACGTTTTGTGTGAGTTGAGAAGTGATTGCTGGACAATTTCTCTGCGGCTGACCGAAAAACAAAGAAAATTTGACAACCCGAAACCGGTGACCGCCCAATCTCCAAAACTGTAAGAAGTTTCCAAAACATT